CCTATACCTAGGAAACCTCATCCTCTCAGCCCAAAAGCTCCTTAAGCTAATATGCAACTGCAGCAATGTCTCAGGATACAAAATCAATGTGCAAAAATAACTAGTATTCCTACACCAACAACAGAAAAGCAGAGAGCGAAATCATGAATGAACTCCCACTCACAGTTGCTACAAAGAGAATAAAATACGTAGGAATACAGCTAACAAGAGAAGTGAAGGACCTCTTCAAGAGAACTACAAACCACTGCTAGAGAAAATTAGAGAGGACACAAACAATTGAAAAATATTCCATATTCATAAATAGAATCAATATCATGAAAATGGCCATATTGCCCAAAGCAATTTATAGATTGATTCAATGCTATTTCCATTAAACTACCATTGACATTCTTTGCAGAATTAGAAAAAAAAAAACTATTGTAAAAATCATATGGAACCAAAAAAGAGTTCAAATAGCCAAAACAATCCTAAGAAAAAAGAACAAAGCTGGAGGCATCACGCTACCCAACTTCAAACTATACTACAAGGCTACAGTAACCAAAACAGCATGGTACTGGTACCAAAACAGAGATATAGACCAATGGAACAGAACAGAGTCCTCAGAAATAATACCACACATCTACAGCCATCTGATCTTTGACAAACCTGAGAGAAACAAGAAATGGGGAAAGGATTCCCTATTTAATAAATGGTGCTGGGCCATCTGATCTTCAACAGACCTTTTGACAAAACAAGCAATGGGGAAAGGATTCTCTATTTAATAAATGGATTCAGTGTGAACTGGCTAGCCATGCAAAATTGAAACTGACTCTTCTACACCTTATACAAAATTAAGTTGGTTAGGCATGGTGGCCACGCCTGTAACCCCGCGTCACACTTTAGGAGGCCAGAGCAGGTGCATCACATGAGTGGACAGGAGCTTTGAGACCAGCCTGAACACAGTGAAACCTTGTTTTTACTAAAACTACAAAATTATCCAGGTGTGGTGGTGTACATCTGTAATCTCATATTGGCAAGTCTGAAGCAAGAGAATCGCTTGAACTCTTGAGGCAGAGGTTGCAGTGAGCCAAGATTGTGCCACTGCACTCCAGTCTGGGCTACAGAGTGAGACTCTGTCTTAAAAAAAAAAAAAAAAAAAAAAAAAAAAAAATTAACCCATTATGATTAAAACTTAAATGTAAAACTCCAAAACTATCAAAACCTTTGAAGAAAATCTAGGCAATGCCATTCAGGACAGATGCATGTGGGGATAAGATTTTATGACAAAATGCCAAAAAGCAATTGTAATAAAGCAAAAATTGACAAGTGGGATTTAATTAAAACTCAATATTGAGCTTCTACACAAAAATAACTATCATCTGAGTGAACAGACAACTTACAGAATGGGACAGTGTTTGCAATCTATCCATCTGACAAAGGTCTAATATCCAGAGTCTACAAGGAACTTAAACATATGTCATGCAAGAGAAAAATTAGGAAAGTGGAGAAAGGACACAACAGACACTTCTCAAAAGTACACATTCGTGTGGCCAAAAAAACATGAAATACCAACAGCAATTTGACTGGGCTAGAGAAGTGCAAATTAAAACCACAGTGAGATACCATCTCACGCCTCAGTCAGAATGGCGATTATTAAAAAAGTCAAGAAACAACAGATGCTAGCAAAGCCATGGAGAAATAGGGATATGTTTCTTTGTTTGTTTGGTTTGTTTGTTTGGGCTTGAGACGGAGTCTCGCTCCTGCTCCAGGCTGGAGTGTGTAATTGCACCATCTCTGCTCACTGCAACCTCTGCCTCCCGGGTTCAAGCAATTCTCCTGCCTCAGTCTCCCGAGTAGCTGGGATTACAGGCACCTGCCATCAAGCCCGGCAAAGTTTTGTATTTTTAGAAGAGACAAGGTTTCACCCTGTTGGTCAGGCTGGTCTCAAACTCCTGACCTCGCGATCTGCCCGCCTCAGTCTCCCAAAGTGCTGAGATTATAGGCGTGAGCCACTGCGGCCAGCCTGGAACATGTTTACACTGTTGATGAGAATGTAAATTAGTTCAGCCATTGTGGAAGACACTGTGGCAATTCCTCAAAGATCTAGAGGCAGAAACACCATAAGGAATATAAATCATTCTATTATAAAGACACATGCACCCATATGTTCATTGCAGCACTATTCACAATAGCAGAGACATGGAATCAACCCAAATGCCCATCAATAGTAGAGTGGATAAAGAAAATGTGATACATATACAAATGTGATACATATACACCATGGAATACTACGTATGCAGTCGTAAAAAGGAATGACTTTGCAGTGACATGGATGGAACTGGAAGCCATTATCCTCAGCAAACTAACACAGTAACAGAAAACAACACCACATGTTGTCACTTTTAAGTGGGAGCTGAACAATAAGAACGCGTGGACACAGGGAGGGGAACAACACCCACTGGGGCCTGTAGGGGGGGCCAGGGAAGGGAGAGCACCAGGATAAACAGCTAATGTATGTGGGGCTTAATACTTAGCTGATGGGTTGATAGGTGCAGAGAACCACCATGGCACACATTTATCTATGTAACAAACCTACACATCCTGCACATGTACCCCAGAACTTAAACTCTGTAGGAAAAAAGTGTTTTCATTGATAAAATAGCTCAATGTTTGCGATTCATACACTGTGTTTAAAAAAAAAAAAAATCAAGAGTTATTCCAGAAAAGTAGTAAAAGATTCCAAGAAAAGGAAGATGGGATTTCATTTTCTGTGGCAGTTGGTTTCACCCATAACAAGTAAAAAAGTTAGAAAAAAAAGTCAGTGCTCCATTAGATTCTGATGCCTAAAATATCCTCCTTTGACCATCAAAGCTTTACTGGCATAAGAAATATTTATTTCTTTATCCAATAGTTAATATTATTTATATATTTATAATACTGTAAAATGCTATTTATTTATTTAATTCTTACATCAATCTCTAGACAAAGTACAAAAGTCCTACAGAATTAGTTATAAATTATCTAAACCTTGACAATGGGCATAAGAAACATACAATTACATTACACCTCTTACTGTTCACAGCAAGCAAACAGTAGACATTGTGTAACATATATATAGATATTATGTAAAATCAAAAATAAGAACCAATATTAAATATATATATTTATATATATGTTTATACTTATATATTTATATAAAAAATATATATTTAAACATAAGCAAGAAGTAGAGAGAGTGGACTCGACATATCAAATATAATATTACCAATATTGTCTACAGTTTATAAATTAAAATAGAAGTAAGGGCATACATATTTTTAAATAAATAAATTTAACCAACAGAAGAACTTAAATGGAAATTATTAAATTCTTCAATAGGACTAAATGAAGGGGTAGAAAGTTTTACTATCATTTTTCGCTTTGTATATCTATAGCTTAAACAATTTACCATGTGTATTCATTATTTCAGTAATAAAAAATGTTTAAGTATTAGAAATAAAAACAGGTGCTGCAAAATCACATTTTGCAAAAAAAAAATACATAGAAAGAGCTACAGTAGCAGATAAACAGAGAAAGACACAAAGTAGAAGATATATATGCAGGTGATACGCAATGATCAAATCAGGGTAACTGGACTATCCATAACCTCAAACATATGCCATTTATTTATTTTGAGAACAATCCAAATCTTGTCCTCTAGCTATTTTGAAATATACTATAAATTATTGTTAATTATAGTCACCCTATTGTGCTATCGAATACTAGAACTGGACAGGCATGGTGGCTCATGCCTGTAATCCTAGCACTTTACGAGGCCGAGGCAGGCAGATCACTTTAGGCCAGAAGTTCGAGACTGGCATGGCCAACATGTTGAAAACCCTTCTTTACTAAAAATACAAAAAACTTCGGCCAGTTGTTGGGGTCACCTCTGTACTGAGACATGAGAATCGCTTGAACACTGGAGGCAAAGGTTGCAGTGTGCCAAGATCGGGCCACTGAACTCTAGCCTGGGTACAAGAGCAAGACTCTGTCAAAAAAAAAAAAAACATACTAGAACTTATTCCTTCTACCTAACTGTAATTTTGTACCCATTACTCAACTTCTCTTCCTCCCCTCTTCCCCTGACCCTTCCTAGCCTCTGGTAACAACCATTCTGCTCACTGCCTTTACATGCAACGATTATGTATCAATAAAAAAATGAATAAAAGTTTCTAAAAACATGTTCTAAATTTTTTTTATTTAAAAGTCTTTTAAGTTTTAAGTTTCTTAAAACTTTTTATTTAAAAGTTTTAAGAAAACAAGAAGATACATATATCAATCAAAACATTAATAGTGGTTATCTCCACCTGGTGGCAAAATGCAAGATTATATTAATTTTCTTATATGTTCCTATATATATACTTAACAAATTTGACATCATTAACATAAATTATTTTGTAAGTTAAAAAAAATAGTACTTAAACTTGTTTTTTAAAAATGGAGTAGGGTAAGAAAATAGCACAAAGAGAAGCATCAACTTTTTAATAATGCATTTATTTTTACCTATTATATATATAAAATCACATTTATCAATATTATAAATACATATAAAAGTTTATTTTACTGGCTTTCAGAGTTCTGAAACATCTTAAGGAATCCTTAATCTGGTTTTTGTTTTGATTTTGAATCTATTTTATCTATAAGAATATTTCTCCAATTTTATGTCTGCAAGCAAAAATCTATTTTGGGTTGTAGAAATTTTATTGCAGATAATTTTTCACAATGCATTATTCTATGTATCAAGAAGAGCATGTGTATTTATGATATTTTTATTCCAACTCCCAAACATAATTAATTGCAACAAGATATTATTGGTCTACAAAATATTCTTCCTTCTAAACACTTAAAAATTTTAACAGTAATGGAAGACAAATGCAATCTGTAAATGTAAACATGCACATAAATTGTATAAAATATATGCTATCATGTTAAATAATTTTTAAATGTGTTAATTAAAAAAAAAAGATTAAACAGTTACATACCAGTGCAACTCCTGCAGAATAACGAGTAATACACATCTTTCTAGGAAACGTTGCTCCCACATAATCAGGATAATCCCTATAACTAAATAAATAAGTTTACATTTATAATTGATTTTAACAGACAATTTAAAAATGAGAATTCCTGCTAATAATTTAAGTCTGCAGTTCATAAAATCCAAATCTGAAGCAAATTGAGGTACGATCTTTCCATATGTTCTTAATTGTTTCAAATTTGTAATACCATTTAATATGACATATTAGTATTAATTAGATTAAATACTCTTGATATCTGAAACATATCCAATGGATCCAACTTTTTAATGCCTTTATTGTTCTCATCACATCTGGCTACATTTACCAAAGGTTTTGCTCCAATATTCTGATAAAAAATACTTTGTTGAGTGACAGTGACAAATCATTTTAATGTGTAGATTAAAATGTGTTGCTCCCAGGTAGTAAAGTTCAACAGTTTCCAATAGGAGTGCTTTATTGTTTCACACCTAAACATTATTATTTCAGCTTTGAGTAAGGGGCCATTTAAACTGCCATATAATAATACACTATTCTCAGAGCTTTACATCAACTAATCCATTTAATACTCAAAACAAACTAGTGAATATTATTTTTGTCCCCATTGAGCAAATCAAATATCAGATGGGAAGTATAAGTAACTCTCTCAAGGTAGCATGACTAATACATCCTACTGAAGAATCTGAACTTAGGCAGTCTGAATCCGAGCCATATTCTCAACCACTTCTTGGTATAGAAGCTCCAAGCATTCACTGCCTTATTTAGAGCCCCCACCAAACAAGCCAGGATGTGAGTAAAGAAGCTTAAGAAGTTTGGTATTCAATTTTCAATTTGAAATGCCCTTTCTGTCTCAACTGCACTTCACTTCACAGTCACACTGCCTCTCCACTACCTTTATTCTGTCTCTCTGAGATTGTTTATATCTAACCCTTCCAGCATTTGTTTCCAAGTGTTTGTTCCTAATGCCCAACGTTGGTTTTCTGTTCCAATGTCTAAGTATTGTTTACACTCTTTCTCCCTCCCACAGATACTTTACTAAGCCCTGTTTTTATAACTCAGACTTCCCCTAAGATTCTATGCATACTCCTGACAAACTCAGTAATATATTTTTTAATTCATACTGACATGTTTTGATGTGCCCATTCCACATCAAATCAGTTGTCAAGCTCTACTACCTTGCTTTGTCAGTGTTTATTTCCTTTCCCTCCTCCTTCAAAGGTTCAGGTCCAGTTCTAACTATGAATTCCATATTCTATAAAAGGTAATAATATTAATCCTAAAGAAAAATCTAGCAGACTAAAATTTGGGGGTGGGAGAGACCTTCTATACTATACAGGAAACCCAAAAGAAAGAAGAAAAGATTAACAGATTTGACCATATAAAATGTAGAAGTTTTCATGTAGTGTTGGAAACTGAAAGCCTAAGGGTCGTGACCAACTTAGCATTCCCCTGGAGGCTATATGATTAAACAGCAAACTGTTCATCATGAATGCTGAACGTGAGCAAATTCACATCTGTGCCTGCCAGCAGAAGGTATACTGAGGGCAGTCACTCCCTGGCACTGTGCTCCTTGAGGTTATCTACTGGAATATCTGAAGCCTACTGTTCAAAGAATGCAGTCATGCAGGCCTGCACTAAGTCAAGCGGCTGACCACAACCACCCCCTTCTCCCTATCTCCTTTACTCAATAAATACAAAGGGCTCTAGAAGCTCAGGACCCCCGTTCACTAGAAGCAAGGAGTCCCCTGGCCCCTTCTTGCAAATACACTCTTTTGTCTTTGTCTTTATTCCTGTACTCATCCTCCTTTGTTCAGTCCAGCAAGGCCTGCTGAAATGTAGCAGAGAATAAAAAGTTTATAGAAAAATTATAGATATGGAAAAAGTATTTGTCATACAGATAAACAATAGTTAGTATCTAAGCATTCAAAAACCCTTACAGGCATCCAATTGGTAAAGAGGAAGTGAAATTGTCACTGTTTGCTGATGATATGATCATTTACCTTGAAAATTCTAAAGACTCCTCCAGAAAGCTCCTAGATCTAATAAAAGAATTCAGCAAAGTTTCCAGATACAAGATTAATGTACACAAATCAGTATTCTTCTATACACCAACAGTGATCAAGCAGAGAATCAAATCAAGAACTCAACCCCTTTCACAATAGCTGCAAAAAAAATAAAATGCTTAGGAATATACTTAACCAAGAAGTAGAAAGATCTCTACAAGGAAAACTACAAAACACTGCTGAAAGAAATCATAGATGACAAACACAAATGGAAACACATCCCATGCTCATGGATGGGTAGAATCAGTATTGTGAAAATGATCATATTGCCAAAAGCAATCTATAAATTCAATTCAAACCCATCAAAATACCACTATCATTCTTCACAGAATTAGAAAAAAGCAATTCTAAAATTCATATGGAACCTAAAAAGAGCCAACATAGCCAAAGCAAAACTAAGCAAAAAGAACAAATCTGGAGTCATCACACTAACTGATTTCAAACCATACTATAAGGCCATAGTCACCAAAATAGCATGGTACTGGTATAAAAATAGGCACATAGATCAATGGAACAGAATAGAGAACCCAGAAATAAACCCAAATACTTACAGCCAACTGATCTTCAACAAAGCAAACAAAAACATAAAGTGGGGAGAAGACACCCTACTCAAAAAATGGTGCTGGGATAATTGGCTAGCCACATGCAGGAGAATGAAACCGGATCCTCATCTCTCACCTTACAAAAAATCAACTCAAGATGGATTAAGGACTTAAACCTAAGACCTGAAACTAAAAATTCTACAAGATAACATTGGAAAACCCCTTCTAGACATTGGCTTAGGCAAGAATTGCATGACAAAGAACCCAAAAGCAAATGAAATAAAAACAAAGATAAATAGTTGGGACTTAATTAAACTAAAGAGCTTTTGCACAGCAAAAGGAATAGTCAGCAGAGTAAACAGAAAACCCACAGAGTGGGAGAAAATCCTCCCAATTTATACATCTGACAAAGGACTAATATCCAGAACCTACAATGAACTCAAACAAATCAGTAAGACAAAAACAAACAATCCCATCAAAAAGTGGGCTAAGGACATAAATAGACAATTCTCAAAAGAAGATATGCAAATGGCCAACAAACTTATGAAAAAAATGCTCAACATCTCTAATGAGCAGGGAAATGCAAATTAAAACCATAATGCAAAACCACCTTACTCCTGCAATAAAGGCCATAATCAAAAAATCAAAAAAACAGTGGATGTTGGTGTGGATGCAGTGATAAGGGAACATTTCTACACTGCTGGTAGAAATATAAACTAGTACAGCCACTATGGAAAACAGTGTGAAAATTCCTTAAAGATCTAAAAGTAGAACTACCATTTGATCCAGCAGTCCCACTACTGGGTATCTACCCAGAGAAAAAGAAGTCATTTTTTGAAAAAGATACTTACACATGCATGTTTATAGCAGCACAATTCACAACTGCAAAATCATGGAACCAACCCAAATGCCCATCAATTAATGAGCGGATAAAGAAACTGCAGCATTATATATATATTCATATATATATATATGAATACTACTCAGCCATAAAAAGGAATGAATTAACAGCATTTGTAGCGACCTGGATGAGATTGGAGACTATTATTCTAAGTGAAGTAACTCAGGAATGGAAAACCAAACATCGTATGTTCTCCCCAAAATGTGGGAGCTACGCTATGAGGCAAAGGCATAAGAATGATACAGGTGGCGGGGGCCAGCCACTTGGGAGGCTGAGGCAGGAGAATGGCATGAACCCAGGAGGCGGAGCTTGCAGTGAGCCGAGATCGCGCCACTGCACTCCAGCCTAGGCGACAGAGCGAGACTCCGTCTCCAAAAAAAAAAAAAAAAGGAATGATACAATGGACTCTGGGGACTTGGGGGAAAGAGTGGGAGGTGGGGCGAGGGATAAAAGACTACAAATATGGTGCAGTGTATACCGCGTATACTCTCAGGTGATGGGTGCACCAAAATCTCACACATCACCACTAAATAACTTACTAGTGTAACCAAATATCACCTGTACCCCAATAACTTATGGGGAAAAATATAAATATTAAAGATAATGAAATTATTTTTTAAAGCCCTTACAAATTATAGGGAAGTAGTCGAACGACAAGAAAAGACAATTACAGAAGGACAGATACAAATGATCGACAAGCATTTGAAAAGATGCTCAAATCCACCAGTCATCAGAAAAGAAGCAAATTAAAACGACGACAACGACCTTAAGTTACATCCATCAGACAACTAAAAGTTAAAAGAGGAATAACATTTATGGCTGGCCGAGATGTGAGGGAAAGATTAGTCTCACATAAGAGAAAGAAAATACTGACATACTAAACTTAAATACATATATAGACATGTATAGTTTTATTGAAAGACACTTGCTGGTTACTGCTAATAAATTTAATATGATTACAATTATAAATATATAGCTATAATTTATAATTAGAAAACTAACATTTTAAAATTACTCAGAAAATTCATTAGGATAAAACTTTTGTAACCACATTTACCAAGCCTTTGGTCAAAGCTCATATAAGAATATACACCTCTCAAGATAAATCCCATCTCTTTAAGTAGTGGTTAAGCGTTTTGGCTCTAGAGATACAAACTGTGGGTTCAAACCTTAGGAGTATTTGAACTCCTTAACCTTAAGGAACTTAACCTCTTGGAACTCTAGTGTCTTCATTTATAAAAGCTTTATTAGCCTAGAAATAAATGTTAGTAATGTTTTTTTTTTATTGCCTGACAACTAGAAATTGAGCGTAAAGCCGGAATAAAGCACATACTAAATAATCGAAGCATGGATATTCAGAAATGAATAATAATTCCTTACATTAAGCCACATAATTATCACAAATCTCTGTTTTCTTTCTAGGAATAATGAAACATTATTCTTACATTAGTAGATATGCAATATCATGAGGCCTTAGGTTAAGATAAGATTGTTTCCATTCTAAAAATCTTTTCAATAATTCATCTGCCTCACCAACTGTAGAAATCTTATTTTCATCTGACCAAACCTCCAATGATGACAGCACAATAGTAACTTTAAATTGGGCAAACATCTAAAAACAGAAGAGATAAATACATGCATAATTACTATTTATGTTATCTTATAAAAACCCAGAAATTAATTCGATGTTTTTACAATCCCATACTCAGTTTATATGGATGGGTTAATTATCCAGGAATACCATATCAAGTTTAGGCAAATTATCATTTCAAAACAAAAATTATTTTAATATGAAAAGAAAAATACTTACTGAATTTGCAAGGCCAACAATTTCAATGACTTTATTTGTCACTATCATGCTATCAGAGCCCCAGTAATCATACTGAAAAACAGAATTAATTTTATACTTAAGTACAATTTATTATATAGTATTTTTAAGATTCATTTCCATCTACTGTCAGAGGTATGAGGCTGCTTTGGGGTTCAACAGTTCAAAACAAAACATTAATAAGTGAAAAATGAGTATAAACTGGATCCCTCAGGCATTGCTGGTGGGAATGTAAAACGGTACAGCCACTCTGGAAAAGAGTTTGGTAACTTCAACTTCTTTGAAATCAAAACAAAGAATGGATTTACTATATGGCTCAGCAATCTCACTTCTGAGCATTTATCTCAAAAAACTGATGCTCACACAAATACTTGTACATGAATGTCCATAACAGCTTTATTCATAATAGCTAAAAACTAGAAACAACTCATATGTCCTTCAATGGTTACATGGTTAAATAAACTGTGGTACATTCCTACCATAAACTCAGCAATAAAAAGAAACAAATGTTGATATATGGAACTGCCTGGATAAACTTCAAGAAAATTATGCTCAGCATGAAAACATAATCTCAAAGGGATACAGACTGCTTGATAACTTTATGCAATATGTGTGAAATCACAAAGAAGGAGAATGGCTTAGTGGACCCCCAAGGGCTCAGAAGAGGGCAGGGGATTGGTGTGGCTCTAATGGGATCACATAGGAGACTCCTGTGGTGATGGTACTGTTGAGTATCTCGATTGTGGCAATGGTTATGGAAGGCTACTTATGTAATACCATTGCATAAAACTGCACACACATGCACACACACAAATGAGTGTGTGTATGTATACATACATATACGTCGCTCTTGAAATCTGAAAAACTGGATTGCAACTACATCAAACTGTACATATCCATAGACAAACTCTCTACAGTACATCACCTTGGACGTTCCACAGGAGCGTCAAATTATCCCAAAGTAAACTCATATCCAAAACTAAAATAAATATATTCAAAACTAAACTCATCATCTTCCTTCAAAAATCTGTTCCTACTTATATTTTCACTACTTTAGTGAATGGTATTATTATCTAACACATCCTACATTTATTACACTATATGCTCCATGAGAGCGGAAATTGTTCTGTTGTATTCACTGCTATATTCCCAATGGCTAGAACAGCAACTGTTATCTAGATGATGCTCAGTGAATTTGCTAAGTAAATGAATAAATCAATCAAATCAAGTTCTTCTAGTTCAACCCAATCAGTAACTTTTAAAGTTGTTCCTTTATTTTTATTCTTGATGCCACTAATTTATAAGTTTTCACCCTGATTATTAAAATAATCTCTTAAATGATTCCTCCCCCTCAATTTTCCCACCAGCAATCTGGTCCCTACACTATTACCAAAATGATTACTCTAAGGTAAAATAGAAATATGTCACTCCCCTATTTAAAATATTTCAATGACACCTTCCCTCCTTACTGACCTCAGTACTTCCCTTTGTGGGCCCTGAATGCTGGAGAGTGCCCCCTACCATTGGAAACTGAGTATGTACTATGTACAGTTAAACAGACTGTCTTTTCAATAGCAACCATCTCCTGATCTGTTGGCTTCAATATACCTGAGTAATAATCAAACCTACATTTTAAAACACCCACTTGGATGTTCTTATAGTATAACAACTTACAGTTGTGTTTCCATGTCTGTCTCCATTATTAAACTATGTATATATAGAACCATATGCTTCTACAATCATGGCAATGAATTCACAATGCCATAACTATAGATTTACAAATTATAAAGTCACTGAAGGAACTATGAATACTATGATTGTTTGTTTGTTTGTTTGTTTGTTTGTTTTTGAGATGGAGTCTTCCTCTGTCACCCAGGCTGGAGACCAGTGATGCGATCTTGGCTCACTGCAACCTCCACCTCCCTTGTTCAAGCAGTTCTCCTGACTCAGTCTCCTGAGTAGCTGGGACTACAGGTGTGCACCACCACGCCTGGCTAATTTTTGTAGTTTTAGCAGAGATGAGGCTTCACCATGTTGGCCAGGCTGGTCTCAAACTCCTGACCTCAGGTGATCCACCCAACTCAGCTTCCCAAAGCACTGAGATTACAGGCATACACCACGCCCTAACCAAGGGGTTTTTTAATTAAAGAAAATGTAAACATGTATAAGAATTTAAAGTAGTAATATTTAATCAGCATTATATGACTTGAAAACCTGGCAATTTGGACAAGCTTTTGAAACTACTCTCAAAATATATAACATAATCCAAAAACAGAAGAATTTTCATAATCCAAAATATTTCCTGGAAACTTAGTTGTGTTTACCAGAAATACCTCAATTTTCTCTCAGCTATCTCAATGTCTCAACGTTCTCTTAAATGTTCCCTTTGCCCTTTTCCCTGTACTCTAATAAATCAAGTTATTTTCACATCTTTCTCCAAATCCCTCCTGGTCCCTGACCTTAACTCTGGCTTCCTGACAAGCTCTAAACCCTAGGAACAGAAACTGCCAATGAGGACTAGTCATACCCACTGTGGTGTTCCGTAGGTATACACAAACAGCTGCTTATCATCAGAATAAAACCTAGAAAGTATATTTTTAATCTCTATTTTCTGAAATCTTTCAACTATTAGAAGAAATAAAGACATATCTAGTTGACCGCACACTAAGTTATCACCCCAAGGTTCTGAAATTCAGAGGTCTCAGACTGTTTATGGAAATTAAGAATCTCGAGGTACTCTTTTCATCAGGTAAACGATGGACGAGAATGGGCGCCCCACCAAAAACTGCTAAAAAAATCTTGACTCATTAGTGAAAGTCATTCTAATAGATAGTTATACTATCATGACTTTTGTCCCAATAAATATTCTAGGGTGGAATGTTCCCTAGACTACATTCTGCTCTTCAAACTTCCCTAAAATAGAATTTCACTTCTACCAAAATCACCATTAAAAGGTAGTATGGATTGAGAGGGACTCTAGAAATGTGAAGTGCCAGGGGAAAAAAAAAATACATTTTGTTCTGCAGTACTCTTATGTAAGTATTTCAAATAAAACATTTCTGACAAAACTAGTATTATTTTGACTATTTAGTTTCTCAGTGTGTACATTTTTCCACTATTGTCTCTATGACATGTGAGTAAGAACATTGGAATCTTTTAGTTTCTGTCTGGCTAGCTAGGGATAATCACACATTTGGATCAAATATTTCAAAGCAAAAAAAAAGCAAAACACATACCAAAGCTTTGTCCACCACGATATGCATTTCCAGATAAAGAGGAAATAAATCTGGAACAGCTGGTTCTGACTAGAAAAAAGGAAAATCGCATATAATACCTGAAAAATTTCATAATTTTTTTACTTGAACTCTTCTTTAAAGCTATTACCACAGCACTTACAAGATATGCAGAGGTGTTTGCTTTATCAAATTGATTAAAATCAATAAATAAAGTTTTAAGTTTTATGGCAACGTACTCAAGTAGTTAGAAGATTGCCCATGAAGTTATAACATCTATCTCAATATATTTACAACTTCCAGTTTATGAACTAACAAAAAACACCTAGCATTTCCATCTACTTCATCTGCATATCAGAAGTAAACTTTTGCTTTAAAAACTATATGTGTGTTGAGGTTTTTTTTTTTTTTTTTTTTTTTTTTTGAGAGGGGGTCTCGCCTCTTCGCCCAGGCTGGAGTGCAGTGGTGCAATCTCAGTTCACTGCAAGCTCTGCCTCCTGGGCTCATGCCATTCTCCTGCCTCAGCCTCCTGAGTAGCTGGGACTACAGGCACCCGCCACCACGCCCGGCTAATTTTTTTTGTATTTGTAGTAGAGACGGGGTTTCACCGTGTTAACCAGGATGGTCTCAATCTCCTGACCTCGCGATCTGCCCGTCTCGGCCTCCCAAAGTGCTGGAATTACAGGCGTGAGCCACCACACTCCTTTCTGTATTCATGTCCTTTGCAATATGACTTTTCAGTGCCTCCCATCAAGAGGTGAGTTTATTTTTCCTCTCTCTCAATCTGGGCTGGGCTTTGTAACTTGCTTGAGTCAATAAAGGCAATAGAAGTGTTGTTTTGCCAATCTTGAGCCTAAGAAACCTTTCATACTGCCATTCCTGATCTTGGAACCCCTGCCTGTACACATCTGGCCAGCCTGCCAGATGATAAAAGCAAATGGCCTATTCACGCCATTGCCCCAGAAAAACATACAAATAAAAAACAAGACAATGCTTGAGGGGGAAAAAAGCTGCTGGGTTTCTATAAGAGAGTATTGTGGTCCTTGAACTGACCCACCTACCATCCCATCTCACACATCCAGCTCATTGGCATCCATGAAGATAGAGGCCCATGTTCCTGGTGTGGCTTTCCCATGCCAGAGGAAGAAATACCAAATTTGTTCTCAAAGAATTATGGTTATGTGTTTTGAGCTGTCCAGTGGCTCCCTAACGGTTTTGCTCACAAGCTTTCCTTTGTTTCCTCCACCATGAAATTTCACAGGGTTGGAGTGGACTCCAAGGCAGTGTTTATAAAAAGCATTTCAAGGCAAATATACTGGCCAGAGCCCTTGGAGCAAGGAAAAATGGACAAGAAAAGCAGAAGGCACACTAAAAAGTCTAGGAAGAAAGTGGTTGGGTAAGGAAATGGGTGGAGAAATGAAGGCTTTGAAAACCTCAGGCATATACTGGGAAATCTAGAGGGCCACCCACATGCCCAAGGCTGGACACACACTCAGAAAAGACTTGACACTAAGCTTTCTCCTCTGCCTGGCTTTCAGACATTGTACAAGCAAGAGTCAACGCCAAGGGTTAGTTGTCAACATCTGGAATAAGTATTGCATGTATATCAAAACCCAGAGTCAATCTGTAAAAACCAAGGAAGGCTTTTCTCTTTTTCGGCTCCAGTAATTTAAAGAAATCTCTATCAAATCACTAGGTGACTACTAGACAATATTGTTCACAAAATATTTCTTTACTTTAGAAAAGTCAGTAAACAAGCAAACAACTACAACCCACAGCAAGCAGTAACAACAGACCTTGCCGGGGAGTGAGGAAGAACCTGATTTCCAGCATTACCACATCAAAATACTCAAAATGTTCAAATTTCAACAACAACAAGAAAGTAGTATGGCCCATTCTCAGAAGATTAGAAATAGAAATGGTACCTCTGGAAGCCCAGACATTGTACTTACTAGACAAAGAAGGTAAATTAATTATCTTAAAATACATTCAAAAAGCTATGAAAAACTATGTAAAACAGCTAAAGGAAAGCAGAAGAATGATACGTCACCAAATAGAAAGTATCCATAAACATACAGAAATTATAAAAAATTATAAAAAGTTGTGGAGCTGAAAAGTAAAATACATGAAAATTCACTAGCATTCAATAACATAGTTGAGCAAGCAGAAAAAAAGAATCAACAAACTTCAAAACAAATCAATCAAGATTATTCAATCTGAGGAGCACAATAAAAAAAAGAATAAAGCTCTACCAGCAGAATTTGATGGCATGATGTCTTGCAGGAAATCCTTTTGCTCCAAGACATGGGTCCCTGGGCTTCCTGCCTTGGAAACACAGCAGTAGGCATCATGGTAAGGTGAAGAGCTTCCCCAGTGATGACCCTTCTAAATTGGTCCACCTCAAAGCTTTCATGGGATACAAGGCTGGCATGACACATTGTGTGGAAAGCTGACCGGCTAGGACCCAAGGTGAACAGGAAGGAAGTGGTAGAGGCTGTGACCATTGTGGAGACACTGCCCATAGGGGTTGTAGGCATCCTGGGCTATATGGAAACCCCTCAAGGCCTCTGAATTTCCAAGACCATCTTTGTTGAGCACATTAGCAATGAGTGCAAAAGGCGCTTCTATAGGAACTGGCATAAAGCTAAGTAGAAGGCCTTTACCAAGTACTGCAAGAAATGGCAGGGTGAAGATGACAAGAAGCAGCTGGAGAAGGACTTCAACAGCATGAAGAAGTACTGCCAAGTCATCCGCATCAATACCTACACCCAGATGCACCTGCTTCCTTTATGTCAGAAGAAGACCCATGTGATGGAGGTCCAGGTGAACAGAGGCACTGTGGCCGAGAAACTGGACTGGTCCCTGGAGAGGCTAGAGGACCAGGTACCTGTGAAACAAGTGTTTGGGCAGGACAAGATGATTGACATCAAATGGGTGACCAAGGGCAAAGGCTACAAAGAAGTCACCAGTCATTGGTATACCAACAAACTGCCCTACAAGACCCACTAAGGGCTGTGCAAGGTTGCCTATATTGGAGCATGGCATTCTGCCCACATGACCTTCTCTGTGGCATGTACTGGACAGAAAGGCTACCATCACTGCACTGAGTTCAACAAGAAGATCTATAAGATCAGTCAGGGCTACTTCATCAAGGATGGCAAATTGATCAACGCCTCCACTGACTATGACCTGTCTGACAAGAGCATCAACCCTCTGGGTGGCTTTGTCCACTATGGTGAAGTGACCAATGACTTTGTCATGCTGAAGGGCTGTGTGGTGGGAACTAAGAAGCAAGGGCTCATCCTCCACAAGTCTTGATGCAGACCAAGCAGTGGGCTCTGTAGAAGACTGATGTTAAGTTCATTGAGACTACCTTTAAATTTGGCCATGGCCACTTCCAAACCATGGAAAAGAAGCATTCATGGGACCACTCAAGAAAGACCAGATTGCAAAGGAAGAAGGAGCTTAATGCCTGGAACAGATTGTGCAGCTGATGGGATCTCAATAGAAGTTATCTGACACTGAAAAAAAAGAGTGAAAAAAATGAACAGAGCCTAAGAGACCTATGGGACACCATCAAGCACATATATAAGAAGAGTTCCTAGCAGAAGAGAAGAAAGGGACAGAAAGAAAATTTGAAAAAGTAATGGGTAAAAATCTCCCCAATTTTATGAAAGTCATGAATCTACACATCCAAAAGGCTTAACAAACTCCAAGTAGAATAAACTCAAAAGAATTCACACCAAAACATATTATAATCAAGTTGTCCAAAGGTAATGATAAAAAGAGAACCTTGAAAACAGCAAGAGAAAAGCAATTCCTCACAAATGAGAGATCTTCAATAATATTAATATCTAATTTCTCATTAGAAACCAGGGAGGCCAGAGGTAGTGGGATGACATTTAAAGTGCTGGAGGGGGAAAAAACTGTCAAACAAGAATTCTATATCTGACAAAACTATCCTTCAAAAATAAAGGAGAAATTAAGACATTCCCAGATAAATTTTTTTTTTAAAAAAAAAAAAGCTCATTGCTAGTAGACCTGCCTGCTTATTACAGGCCAAATGGTATCCCAGTAAAATTCATATGTTAAAGATCTAACCCCATTATATCACAGAATGAAGCTGTATTTGGAGACAGGGCCTTTAAAGAGGTAATCAGATTGAAAATTAGGTCATTAGGATGGGCTCTGATGTAATGTAACTGGTATCCTTGTAAGAGAAAATTAGAACACAAACACAGAAGGAAGACCTTGTGCAGACACAGGGAGAGGACGGTTACTTATATGCCAAGCAGAGGGGCCTCAGAAGAAACCACCACTTGGTTAACACCTTGATCTCAAACTTCTAGGCTCCAGAACTGTGAAAAAATACATATTCTTGTTGTTTAAGCTACCCAGTCCATGGTAAAGTTATGGCAGCTGTAGTAAACTAATATACTGCCCTATAAGAAATGCCAAAGGTAGTCCTTCAGTTTAAAATGAAAGCACACAAAACAGTAACAAGAAGCAATAAAAGAAATTAAAAACACAGTAAAGGTAAAGACACTGGTAACTATAGAAGATATTATTATTGCTGTGTGCAGTGGCTCACACTTACACTCCTGACACTCTGGAAGGCCAAAATGGGAGGACTGCTTGAGTCCAGGAGTTTGAGACTAGCCTGGGCAACAAAGGAAGACAGAGTCTCTACAAATAAACAAATTAGCTGGGCATGGTGGCACATGCCTGTGGTCCCAGCTAATTGGGAGGCAGAGGCAGGAAGATCACCTGTGCTTAGGAGGTAAAGGATGCATGCAGTAAGCCATGATCACAGCACCAGCACTGCACTCCAGCCTGGATGACAGAGTGAGACCCTGCCTCAAAAAAAAAAAAAAAGATATGATTATTATATTTTTGGTTTGTTGTTCTTCACTTTTCCCCAAATTATTTAAAAGAAAATGTATCACACAATACTTATTAAGCTATTGTACATTGTATTATCATTAACATAGCTTAATGTATTAGATAATTTGTGATAATAAAAACATAAAGAAGACAAAGCTGTATAGAAACAGCATTTTGTATACTATAGAGGCTAAGTTGGTATTAATTCAAACTATGATTGTTATAAATTTAAGATGTTATTGTAATATCCAGAGAAACCACTAAGAAAGTAACCAAAATTACATCAAGAAACATAAATGAGAAGCGAATCAAAATGACATACTAGAAAAAAAATCAACTAAACAAAAGAAGGCAGTAATAGAGAAACTGAGACAAAAAAAAGATATAAGACATATAGAAAACAATTCGCAAATGTCAAATTAAGTCTTTATTGAGCCCAGGAGGCAGAGGTTGCAGTGAGTCAAGATCCACAACTGGTGCTCTGTATGGCTTAGACATCTCTTTTCCTGAATCTACTGCCACACTGCTCTTTATATTTATCGTGTCATCCTGCTTCTGCACATCAAGGAAAACCCTACTTCAGACATTAATCCATCCATTGACTCTTCTACTGGTATAAGCAACTACATCTTGAGTCTCTCAGTTCAGGAAGCCTCACATGTTTGGCCTCTGTCAATGTAATGCTATTGTCACACAAAGGTAGAGCTCTACTGCCTCTGTTGCTACCATTATTGCCACTTTGCTCTATGCATCCATCCAGGCTATTGAAATTCTTGACACAGATTGCCATAAATTACAATGACATGTAGTAACTAAGAAAACATATGAGGACAATTTGATTTCCTCTCTTCCTATTGGAAAACGCTTTATTTATTTCTCTTGTCTGATTGCCCTGGCTAGAATTTCCAATACTATGTTGAATAGAAGTGATGCCAGAAGGCATCCTTGTCTTGTGCTGGTTTTCAAAGGCAATGTTTCCAGTTTTTACCCATTCATTATGATATTGGCTGTGAGTTTGTCATAACTAGCTCTTATTATTTTGAGATACATTCCATCAATACCTAGTTTATTGAGAGCTTTTAGCATGAAGCGGTGTTGAATTTTATCAAAGGCCTTTTCTGCATCTATTGAGATAATCAGAATGGGAGAAAATCTTTGCAATCTATCCATCTGACAAAGGGCTAATATCCAGAATCTACAAAGAACTTAAACAAATTTACAAGAAAAGAAAAAAAACATCAAAAAGT